AAAACGCTTGTTTAATCCTTCCAAGCAATGAAGGTGCCAGGTTTCCTTTTGCTGGACTGGAGCTTTCATTCAGCAGCATGTCCTGCAGAAAATTAGATTTTTTTAAAAAAAGAAATAACAATAGCTCAGAGGAGGCAGGAGAGCATTCCTGTGAAATGAAACTTGAGTTTCCAGTGAAGTCAGCAATCAACCGCATGAGCACCGGAGCCACCAACAGAACCAGTTAATAGTACGTGTCTGCAGAACCAATGGAGTGAATAGGCCAGGCAGTTTCATTCTATTTACATCTATTCCATTGGTTCCTCTTCATTGAGCCCCACTCTTTCCAATTCCTGCCACTATGATGACGAGACGCCATATTTACACTCTGGTGATTACATGGCTGACGTACACGCAGTTAACAGGAATAGGACAATGGTGAATCAGTATGTAAACAGTCATCCTAACTACTGGTAACTGTATCTACAAGGAAGGCCAGGAACACAACTGCAGAACAATCATGAACTGGGATCAGAAGAGGATCGGATAAAATAGGGTGCAGTTGATCTCATCTTTCCAGAATATCAAATCTACATTCTTTCCATTAAAACATTGAGCTGCTTCTTAAATGAGTCCAATGTCCTGATCTTAATTAGTCTCCCTGGTAACCATTGCCAATAGTTGAAACCCACTGTGTAAAGGAATACTTGCTATCCTAAAATTTCCCTTTCATAACCCTGAAGCTGTGCTCTCTTGTGCTATTTTCAGTTCCCAGTGAGGGACAGTAATGAAAACATCATTATTCGCCCAAAGTACTCTGTTTCTTTGAATGAATGGTCATCCAGTATGGCACAAGCTGTTTATTCCACAGGAAGCAACTGTATCAACAAGAAACAGCAAGGGACTGAATATTGCCATGAGTTTGACTCTGTCATTTCACCCCTGGGCTTATGTTGAAATCCAGCCAAGACAGATGGGATGAATGTTTCCTCTCTCAAGTCTCCACACTGGCTGTAAGGAGCCTACAAGAGATGAGTTTGCACTAGAGAAGGTGATTCCACTGTGAAAACTACACACAGTTCATCACCAAACGTCCCGATAACTCAGTGAGACCACCGTCGGTGCTGCTCAGCGAGACTACATGCATGGTGGGTGTGAGAAATGGAGATGTGGTACTCATTAACTGGTGGTCTTTTTCTGCAGATAAATCCCAATCACTAACAACTAACTAGTAATCCTTTCACTCCAGGTTTCTCTAGGATTTCCCCCATCAGAGACGAATAATGAAAAGATTGCTTGTATCAGCAACTGACATGATAGGAATTCTTCCCCCACCCCTCCCCTGAATAAGGGGAGGGTCTGATATTAGATCTGAGAATCTTTCATGGTAACTCTAGCAAACATGCAAACATAAAACATAAGAGGCTTTACTAGACAAAAGAAGTTTGCCTTCCACCATGCACATATCACGTCCCAAACTAAATGTTGTATCCCAAGATATTATTTCCTAAAAGAAATCTATCTAATTTGCTTTTGAAAGAATCAACACTTTCTGCTTCCTCCATTTCCCTTGGGAGCCTGTTCCTTCCTTTTCTACTCTACTCATTTTCTGTTTCCTAGCACTGACTATTAAACTTGGGCCAAAAAAAGTGCAATGGAAGAAATAAAAGCAGACAAGTAGATTACAGTACTGGGAGATTACTTGTAAACTGCTGAACCATACCTACTTGTGGGTAACTTTGAATTGAAACATTATCAGGCAGCCTGTTCAGGCAGACCCGTGATCCAGCTGTAAATGTAGGCAGATCTTAATTACAGCACTTCAACATTGAGCAGAGCCAATGGAGAAGTTGAGCACAATCCTGTCATCTTCAGGGTCTCCTTTCTAGTGACGGACAACAAAGAGGAACAGAAACCTGGCTGATTTTGCCTCTCTCGAGACTTTGTCATTTGTGTAACTTTATGCTACATTAGACTGTGTAGAAAAGGGCATTTTAGGTCCAAAGATAAAGTCAGCACACACACACACACACACACNAAAGAGAGGTCTAGTAGGAACCAGCTTGCTCCTAGTGTTTTTATCACATCGCCAGATTAAAATATCTCTGTGCATTCCAGTGGCTGTCCCTATTTGCATTTGAGGGGGAGGGGAGGGGTTGCATTGGAACTGAGCATGTTTGAGTCTGACAGAAAAGAACCCGAGTCTAATAAATGCCTCGCAAAGTGCTCTTAAAGCATGTCTGTCAGCTACAGGGCATAATTACTGTATGTGATAACTGTCAACCCTACTGAAGGATACAAAGAGTTTCTGTCTGGCAAGCGAACAAATGAAAAAAGAATACGTGCATAAGTATGCACAAATTGACAGGTGTAAGAAGAATTGAACAGCATAATAATAAGGGTACTGCTTTGCCTTATTCTCTTTTACAGGCTAAATTTTAGCCCGATTCAATCTCTCAATTTAAACTATTACACGTGGACTTGCAGTGTTTTACGGACATTTAAGTACGAGCCACATCGTTCCTTTTGACTATATAAACAGTGGCTGTACCCTGCTGCTAACTAAATCATTTCCCAGGGATTCAGGTACAGTTACTGCACTGGTTCATGTGACAACATGAACATAATCTCCTGTAGCTCAGTGGTTAGAGCACTCGCTTTGCAAGCGAGAGACCGGAGTTCAATTCCAGGCAGAGGGCGAAACCTTGGGCAAGTTTCCTTACTCCACACAGAGCCTAATAATAATCCCTCCAAAACCAAAAACAATAATAAATTGGTCATTTTCAATCTACGACTGTTTGTGGGACATTGCTGTGCGCAATTGGCTGCCGCGTTCGCCCACAACCATACAGTCAATTCACTTTACAGTGTGTTCTGTGAAGCGCTTTGGGACGTCCTCCAAGATGTGAAAAGCGCTATATCAAATGCAAGGATTTTTATTATCATTATCTAGCCCTCATTCCAGCTCGCATTCTTTTAAATGAGGGAAATAAGTACCGCACGGCTCCAATGATCATGATGTGGACTTTTATATGACTCCATATTACAGAGAAACAGAACCCTCCCTCACCCCCCCCACAACCCGTGTGTATCAGACTACAGTTTGTGTCTTGACTGTAAACCGCCTGACGACAGACTTTATTTGTGCAATTTTCTGATTTAAAGATTTTGTTTTATCTGGTTCCGCACTGCGGTGCACCTTTTAGATTTGAGATCAACCAGGTCCTGGCCGCACACTTGGAATTTCCACGCCCGTTCAAGAGAGGAGGACGTTTTGCATCTCTCTTTTCCCTTATTGACATTGCCCTTGGGCTTGTGTGCATGGGAAATGATGTGAGCACAAAGACATGACAGTGATCGCAGCTGTACATACAGGAATAAATGTGAAGGAAAATACCTGTGGTAGGGACCAAACTGTATGTATATATATGTGTGTGTGGTGGAACATCTTCTCCCCCGTCCTGCCTGTTTTGTTTACTATTTCGTTGGAGTTGAACCTGTACTCGATTCAGATGTCTGGCATTAAGTAGGGAATGTGAGTGGGATGGGGGAGGGGAGGGAGGTCAAAGGCTATGAGCTATTACTGCTATCTGGAGGGCAAAAGCCTCCCAGTCCTGCTGCTGAAACCTATTCAAGTGCATGTTCTGTATTATCTGCTTCATCAAGATGACATTTACCCCGTTCATCTGGTATACCAGTAATAATAATAATAATCCTTGCATTTGAGCTGAGCTCCACTGAGCTACAGGACTCCACTAGGTGGTGGATCTGTTTCGAATAGGAGTTTTTAATAACTCAGGATTCAGGCATCGTTGTTCCACATTATCCAAGATCTTCACTGTTCTTTAAAAGACATCTCATTCAGCATGCACATTCGTGAAAGTAACATTTCATGCAGGGCAAACTCCCAAATGTTGGGCTTTGTCTTTAACAGGTCCACAATTTTCATCCACACGTGGCTTTCTGGCTGCAAACTCAAGAGATTGGCATTAGGCTGCTGCCAACAAGTGGATTTGATGCCTGGGAGTAGATTCAGTCTGGGATTGATGTCATCTCGTGTAGCTGGCAGGTGTTTAAAGCCTTCTCTGCCTGGTCTGACTGAAGGGCGGCGCTTATTAAAGAACCCTGAGGGACCATGGTCATTTGGGGTTGGAGGTCATCATGATTTGAACTGAATGTGAGCACTGCAGGCTGATGAGCTCAAACGCCCCAGTCTGCTCGTGTGTCTGCAATCCATCAGGTCGCAGCACTCTGCAGCATAATGGAATGAAACATTACCAAAGCCGATCTGTTGCAAAACAGATGTCTGGGTTTGATTTTCTGAAGGCCGGTTGGTAGCAGAGGGAGGCAGGATGCAGAGTGCCAGGGAGGCACTGGCAGAAGTGAGAGAAACAGCCAGCTCTATAACCACGCCTCCAGTGGGCTGAAACTGGTCCAGTTCATTACCTCCAGACCCGAGCTGCACTGTTAATCCAGCTGCAGTGTTATGCTCTTCTCACAGGATAAAGGAACTCGTCACCTGCATTAGCATCCTGCAGAGTGCAGTTAATTACAGGTTACAGCACCTCCACTCGGAGACAACTGTATTCAATAAACAACAAAGCTCCTTTTGGAAACCTTGCTGTACAAAGGCACTGGAGTGTGCTCAATGGTGCATTATTTTCATTCAGTAACATTGAACTCTAATAGTTTGTAGTTTACTTATAGAATCAGTGAACGCTTATATATAGAACAATGGCAATGGTTTTGTCTGGACTTTCTCATCACTTCCCTACGTACAATACGTGAACAATCATACTCATTCACTCTCCTTCGCCACAGCGAGACCCAGGAGCAGCGCAGGACCGCATTGCGACCCACGTATCACAGTGCAAGAAGCACACAACTGCATCACAACTCGTGCAGGAGTCTCACAAATCCGCGTAAAATGTCTTCTTCGACAGCTGATCTCCTTTTCGAAGGAAAAGGGGGGGGAAAAAAAGAGAAAAAAAAATTCCTGTAATCAACTCTCGTGGACCCACCTTTGCACGCCACTCCTTTCTCAGGCTCGTAGCCTGCCTTGCAGGTGCAGCTTCCGATGGGCACCATCCACTCCCCGTCACCATTGCAATACAGCTTGATGGGTGCGTCGACCTCCTTGGCAAAGGGAACGCAGGTGCCCTTGGCGATGACCAGCGAGGTGCTCTCCGTGCCTGTCATGGTTTCGGAGAACACGGCATAGTTCTGAATGACGCTGGGGCAGGTTTTGAAAAAGACACGGACGGACAGCAGGGACATGCAGGCCCCGTAGTCCTGGAATGCCAGGTAGAACCCGTTTTTGCTCAGGGGGCCGAAGCTGCGCACTTCAGTATTGACCTTCATCAACCTCCCGCCGAAGTCCACCTGGGAGAAACTTTCGTCAGCAGCGATCGTGTCGACTTTGAGGTACGGCATCTCTGTCCAAAGCGCAGCGCCTTTAATAGTCAATCCGGAATCCGTCTCATAATAATACAGATTGAACGTTTCTTTACAAGAGCCAGGGACATTGGGAATGCTACTGCAGTCTCGCACCGTGAACCTCATCTCCACATACAGCCGCTGGGCTCCCCTACGGTTTATGAAAGTAGTCCACAGCCAGTTGTTTTGGTTGGATTCAAAGACATTGCAGACTTGGTATGTGCGGATCGTGTTCAGATTTTCGTCGTATCCGCTTACTTCTTCCCACTAAAATAAAAATGAAAGACACAGGTTACTATTCGAGATGAATCACTTGGGAGTCTGGATAACAATTCTGGCATGGTTAAGTTGACAGATTTGGTAACAAATAATCATTTAACATGGCACGACCATGAAGTGAATTGCCACCGGTACTTCTTTTGTAAAGGGCGTCTCATCACCAGGAACCTCAAGATCAAAAGTCTCTTTAAAAGAGTGAAGCTCATCCATGAATATTGAGTTTAAAGGCAACATACAAAGATGTCATTAACATCATATTTTCTGTCTATTTTCATTGATTAAACAATTGAGTTGTAAGAATAGTGTGTGCTGTTGTTATTGTGTTGGAGGAATTACTGGTCCAGCGATCTGGAAGGAACCAAACTGATGTACACACAGTTGAAATTACGCATTCTCTGAATCATCCAGGATTAATTGCATCTCCGTTAACATTATTTCTGCTCCTTCCAACTGTAGCTCAGTAACTCCCCCTCATCATTCCTTTCGAAGCATTCACCAGCTCTCACCATTGAAAACAATTCAAAATTCAATAGAAACAGAAATAAAAAATAATTGCAATCATTTGATTTTTTAAAAGGATTGCGCAAACACTGAAGCTGCCCACACTCCACACTCTTTGAATGCAGAACCTTTTAACACATACAAGTCAGATGACTTCCAGCCCATCATAACGGCTAAATGGAGTCCTGTAGCTCAGTTGTTACAGCACTCGCTTTGCAAGCGAGAGACCCGAGTTCAATTCCAGGCAGAGGGCGAAACCTTGGGCAAGTTTCCTTACTCCACACAGAGCCTAATAATAATCCCTCCAAAACCAAAAACAATAATAAATTGGTCATTTTCAATCTACGACTGTTTGTGGGACATTGCTGTGCACAATTGGCTGCCGTGTTCGCCCACAAATATACAGTCAATTCACTTTACAGTGTGTTCTGTGAAGCGCTTTGGGACGTTCTCCCGACGTGAAAAGCGCTATATCAAATGCAAGGATTATTATTATAAATGCATGTCCCTGCATAGACGGGGTTTTGAACTGCTGCCCATTCATTCCCTCTTACCAAACACGAGTAATATATTGAAAGAAATGTTAAAGCATTTTAAAAAATGTGGTGAATGTGTCGAATCAGCTCTTTTTCACCCATTTTTCTCCTTTCCTCTTCTAAAGCTACCAACACTCTACTCTGCGCATATTGGTTTATTGAACCCAGGCAGTGAACATCAGCAGGATTTTTTGAAAGTTAAAGCTATCACAGTGAAGCTTGATCTTGATGCCACTTTACACCTGCACACACTGACAGCAGGGGTTACCAGACTGTGATCAGGAGCTGCAACCAAGGCTGATTTTTTTCTTCTTCTCCCTTGTTGGAAGGCATTGAAGCTAATTGTAGTGTCCTCACTGCTGCCCCAGTTCAGATCAGATAACTCAGCACAGACTGGGGATCAAACAATGCTCTCACTCGCTCTGTGCAGCTCACCGTGGGGTAAGTCAGAACTGCCTCATTCATATCCAGCGCTATTCAGCAGTAGCTGAGATCCTGCTGGCCAGCGTTTACCTGTTAACCAGCTGCTGGCTTTAAAATTTGAGGTTTTGAGGGGTCTTGTGAAGCAACAAAAAAATGTCCTGATATTCAATGACAGTCCTACTCATGGAGTCAATTACTCAGCCATTCAGACTCCATCCATAATACACCAATCCAATCATTAACATTGAGAAAGTGCACTTCTGTGAAAGCTTAATGGGCTCCTCTAGCCTGTTCTGTATTCATAACCTCACTTCAAACCACACTGTTAACAACAGAGCATTCTGTGGTAAGATTTGGTAATCCCTTATCTGTGTTTACCATCATACAGCAACCCTCTTACCTCAGTGACTGACCTACCATTATATTAATCCTGACTGGCTAGGAAGAGATAACAAACATTGTTCACTGGATACCCTCTTATTAACTGTACCAAAGGTTTATTCTGATAATAAGTGCAGTAATTGCACTCCAAACATGTAGCTTGTAACCATTAATGTGATTTTTTTTGTATGATCTAACAAGGAACTATGCTCCAGGCTATTTAACAGGAAACATTTTTCATTTGCACAATGGAATTAATGACGAGGTTTAAAGACCACACTACTCTTTATTTATTTGCTGTGTGGTTTTCGTCTGCAATTAAATGTTAATTTGCTTCAATCAATAAGCTCTGTATTTGACACCCTATGAAAATAACCTAATTTAATTTTAATGGCACCAATTTTGCACAGACTGTACTTCGATCAATTCACATTTATTTTCCGAAGAGGTCTGTTTTTCATTAAGTCAGGTTATTCACCCTCAGATTCCTGTCCACTTTCATTTATATCTACTTTTACTTTGTCCATCCTGACTGTTGTAACGAAGGCCAAATGCAAACCTCTCTGAAAAACAGATGATATTTTAGGCCTGATGTGAGTGCAGAAAGCTGTTTCGTTTGGTCTGTGATTACTGTAACCTCAGGCTTTTATTGCTGTTTAATGCATTTAATCCTAGATTTGGAAAGACTAATCTGGTTCTATATTCCCATTGCAATGAATTTTTTCTCCTGTAAAATATTGTGCAACTTTCTTCTCTTCTCCCTAGATATTCTCTAGTATCTCGCTCAAATAGCCATTTGAGTGGACGATTGGAATGCAGAAGATGGGACATCACAGGAGAGCCCAATGCCAAGCTCACGGGCGCATTCAATCATAGATCACTGGGTAGCGATCAGGATCCAAAAACCTGGCAGATTTTTCCCATCTAGAGCCGATAAATTCTAATAATAATCTAATAATAATCCTTGCATTTGATGTTGCGCCTTATCATGTTTTCGAGATGTCTCAAAGCACCTCACAGAATATACTGTAAAGTGAATTGACTGTATATTTTGTGGGTGAAACTCAGCAGCCAATTGCGTACAGCAGTCCCACAAACAGTCGTGGATTGTAGCTAGATCGATTGTAGCTTCCCTGAACTGCTAACTTGTCGCTTAACTCAGAACAGACCAGGAATCAAACTTCATACCATATGACTTTGTGTCAAACTAGGAAATTCCTTGACCCACACCAGTCAAAGTATTCCATTGGCACATATTCCCACTCGGCAGCTTCTACTTTTCCAGACTGTAAACAATACTTTTCCGAGCACGACTTGATCTGCAGTCAAAGCCAATTCCCCCTACCACAAATCCTGCACTAGCACTCACTAATGCAAAGGTTCTCTAGACCAAAAAGGAATTTATTACCTTCTGAACTTAGAATTGGTTCACGTGATGAGAGCCAGCACCACAGTTAACAGGCTCATCTGCATTTTCAGTACAAACAATTAATAAAAGGTTGTCATTTGATGGGGAACTAATCAATTAAAAAATATAGAGGGAGACATTTTAGTTCTACATATTTTCTACAGAGATTGCATTCCGACATTTAAATTGCTTCCTCGAACGTTGGATCCATCAAGAGTTCGCAATAAATTAAATTTTCAAGATCAGTTTGGTGTTATTGCAAAAACCTAGGATTAAATGATAGAGGAAGCAATCTTAATTATCCATGAGCTAAGTCAGGAATCAATTAAACGCAGAGGATCTGGGATATGATTCGAAAGCAATTGTTTGCTGCGTTTGCAACTGAACATCACCGCAAATTTATCAAACATGCTGTCAGCCTTGCTAAAACACTTTTTAAAATGTAGAAACAACAATGAATTCAAGTGGCAGGCAGATGTGGAAAGAACCATCAGAAACTGTATTGATTTGTTTATTTGCCAAATTTCTCTGGTCCCTGTGCTCTCCTGAATGGCATCAATCTCTTTTCCTTGCACAGGGATAATGGTAAATTGTACGAGGTGCTCTCCGACTGAGTACTTTGCACAACTGAGCCATTCTTCAACGGTGCAAGTGTGAGCTTTGTCCATTAATCCCCCCTATGCTATTCAATCATGGCATTCTCTGCAGCCACAACGAGTGAGGCAGAGTTTTGGGCCATGCAGTGCTGCACTCAGTCAAGTCTCACAAGTCCAACTCTCAACAGTAAAAATAGCCCTGGTTAAGCAATGCAGTCAATTTTGCACAAATGCTTTATTGTCAGCCTGAAAACAGCATTGAGACCACTGGGAAAGTCTGCTCCGCCTCGTAGCTTAATTGAGGTGGAAGCAGACACTGGGCATGAAATAGATCCCACTATGGGCATGGGTTAATAGAGCCCGGCAACACAAAGTCAGTCTTCAACATATTAAACTCGTTAAAACTCTCTCCAGTTCAATGTTTATGTTGGTTCAGGCCATTGTATTACTGAAGTATAATACAATGAAAGAACTAACCAACTACATATGTACAACTACCAGAGAATACACAATCATTTCCAAAATTCCCATCAATCTACTCAACCTGAACTGTCTGTCCTTCAGCAAAATAAAACTGTGCTAACAAAAAAGATCCCACACTGGGGCTCTTTCCCAGCAATGTGACTCTGTACATCCTGAGTACTGAACAAGAAGAGTTACCTGGGTCAGCCAGCACTCTGATTAAACCCACCGTTGCTTCAAATGCGCAGGGAATTGGAATAGCCAGTCTAGTTCTACCCATCTCATCTGTTTGAATTGCAATCTGTCACAAAGGCATTTTCCAGTGCAAGGACATAACAGTTAATAGGGAAGTGCTGAAAACAGTTGCCCCTTGGATCAAAAGCAAGCGGCTCAGATCAAATGAATTAGGTATACCAGTAACACGGGATAATCAGCAGAACTCCAAACTTCTCCATCAATTAATTTAGCACAATCACTCATTCAAATCTAAGAACTTCTTGATCTGTAAAGGTCACTATCACACTCCTCTCAGCTCCATGTACTTGGGTAGCTTTATGTGGATGCATGTTATTTTGGGAGGGAGAAGTGGGCGAGGGAATGTTATAACACTGCACCTGTGGTCAAAATACAAAAGAAATTCCAGTGGGTTTCCACTCTAGAGATACAGGTGCTCAGATGAGA